GAAAAAGTTGCGGAGATCTGTTACACAACAGTGTGAACATATTTAACACTAGTGAACACATACACTTAAAAGTGGTTAATTTAGCAAATTTTATATATATTTTACTACAATTTTTTTAAAAAGCATATTCCAGTTATGATACAAAATGGAGCACCCTAGGCCAAGTGTGGTAGCACATTTTTAATCTTGCCACTCAGAAGGATAGCCACAAGGTCAAGGCCAGCCTGAATTAAAAATGAAAACCTCAAGACAACAAAAATAAAAACCCCACCATACAACTCTATATGAAGCACCCAACATCAGCTACAAAGTATCTTCCCAAAAACACTTACTGAATCTAAACAAGCCTTTCAACCTTAATTCTATTTTCTAGAAAATATAGCAGACAGAGAAACCTTAGGACAAAAACAAAAGGTGAGATAATCTACAGAACTTGCCTAATGCCTTCAAGACCTTGGGTTCCCTACCACAACCACCACCACCACCCCTCCATAAAAAGGTCAATGTCTAAAAGGAAATAGGAAAACCATTAAAAAACATAGGAAATTACTGACATACAGTAAGTCTTCCATTTACAAACAAGTTCCAATCCCAGAAAATTTTGTAAATTGGATTTGTTGATAATCCAACAAAGTGAGTCTTATACAGTACACCTGTGAATTTTACATAGTACACCTGAGAAAGTTCACAACTGGAATGTTTGTAAGTCAGGGACTTACTATATAAACAAATGTGTGAAACAAAATGTGTGAAACAAACAGTGTGAACTCTGGATTCTAGTTCAAAAAGTAAAAACAAAAGAAAAATAAGGGTGAAACATCATTAAGTTTACAATTTACTTTCAAACGATTAAGCGAAATACACTTGTATGTTTGCAAGTTTTCATAATAAAAATTTGGAGAGAAGGGAAGGTATAGGGCAAAATACATGAAAATATAAACAGTATAACAGCAATTGCTTCTGAGAAGGAAACAAGGTAACTGAATTCAGAGGAGAATCTCTTACATAGCACCATCCTTTGTGATTTCTGAATTTTTTATTGTGTTTCAGCTATACAAATAAAATGAGGGTTTTGTAACAGTGGGGATTGAACTCAGGGCCCTTGCTGTAAGCTACATCCCAAGTCCTTTTTATTTTGAAACAGGATCTAAGTTTCTTAGGCAGGTCTTGTACTTGCAATTGTTCTGCCTCAGCCTCTCAAAATGTTGATACTGCAGGCACAACCATCCCATTCAGTTTGAGTCAGTATTTTATCTTTGGCTGGGAGTTTAGCTCAGGGGCAAAAGTGCCTGCCTGGCAAGTCCGAGGTCATGGACTTCAATCCCCAGTACAAAAAAAAAGAGTGGTTATCTTTTTCAGTAGTGGAGTCATAGCTTTATTTTCTTCATATTAGACTCCAAAGAAAGGACATTTTAAAAAAAGAAAGTTTAGATTGGTGTTGGAGGGTGAAGAGGTATACTTTAGTTTCTATAAATCCTATCTCAAGATTCTCCCTATTCATGTTACACGACTGAACTGAAGATCTGATGTCCAATGCCACTCTACCCAACCATAAAAATGGTCCTTCCATGGAAGCATAAAAAGCAATGATTAAGACCTCTGAGTACAGGTATGGTATACTGCATGCCCATATTTTCCCAGTTACTTAGAGGACTGAAGCACTGTTGCAAGTTTAAGGCCAGCTTGGCCAGCCGGAGGGATGGGGTGTAGTTTAGGGGCAGAAAACAGGCTGAGCAGACAAAACATCCTAGATTCAAAGAAAAAGGTGGAGGAAGGGCTTGTAAAAACTGACCCAGACCAGTTCTAATACTAGTTTCACTATTTCTTAGCTGGTATTCCCTCTCCTGACCTAGAAAAAATGGAAAAAATGACTTACAGGTCTATAAAAATGAATGGCACATTCTTTTGGAGTAGAAGGAACACAGGCCTTGAAGTATGACAGGCGTGGGTTCCAATCCTGGCTTTGAGAACCACAGGCAATTATACTTCTGCACCTCAGTCTTTCCAGATACAAAGTGAATGCTCTATTAGGTATAAAATATGTGCTTTGGATTCACCAAATCCTGGTTTCAATCTCCAGAACCAAAAATGAAAAATATAATAAATGCTAAGAGTTCCAATGAAGTACTTGGCATACAATGGATGCTCAATAAAGGACAACTATCCTAACCCAAGTCTAGACTCAGTTGTCTCACCCATTACAGACTAGCACATCACACAAAGCAAAGGTCAGTCTTTTAGGCACTAATTTCCAATTTTGGGCTTCTCCCATAATCTCCAAGAAAAAGACAAGAACATCTCATAACCAAAAGCCTCTTTACACAATCATTCAATACTTTAAGCATTTTTATAATATATATTACAAACAGTACAACAATAAAATGTTTCAAGGGATGTATTCTTTAGAACACTCACAGACCAGTTATGAAAACACAAAAACAAACCCCAGAAATACAAAATAAACATTAATGTGGGGCTGGGGATTTAGCTCAAGTCGTGAATTCGATACCCGGTACCGATAAAAAAAACAAAAAGACAAATAAATAAATAAACAAACATTAATGTGTATAAAGTTTCTACTGTGTGCCACAGAGGAAGAACTACAGACCTTAGGAATCAAGGAATACTTTGTAGAGGTAGACTTGAAGAATGGGGCAGGAGGTAGTCTGACCAAGGACATTTTTAGAGTAGTTGAATATACAAATCCACCAATGTTGATGGGATTAAATGCCAAAAGGTGCAACCTAGCTTTTTCCAAGGGGCCACACCACCAGAACCCTAAGAAACTGGGTAGATTTCCACGCATTAATTCTCAAATGACCTGAGAAGGGGAAGTAATTTTGTGCTCTGTCCTCTCACAACAGGCAATGTAAGAAGATATTTTTGTCATTCATACTTGGGAAGTGGGGATGCTATTATTTAGGAGGCAAAAGCCAAGGATACTGTAAAACACACAATCCACAGGACCAACCCTACAATAGTGAATTATCTCGCTGACATGCCAATGTTGAGTCCCCGTGCTCTAAGTAGAGACCCAAACTCAGGCAAGACTCCAAGGAAGGTCTTTAGTATGAGTTACTCCACAGCAAGGGCAGGCCTTTGGACTAGAAAATGAGTGGAGATCACAGCAGGATTCCCAATGGACCACTTCGAGGTACACGGAGTACCGTATAGAAATGACGAATATGATAGTCATTACCTGTAAAGTGATCACCCAACTCTCACATTAACATGTCCCATTTCCTGCACAGCCTAAAATTATCTTATTTTCTCCCTCCATCTTCTTTCCCCTCTAGAATTTCCATGAGAACATGGATTTGGTTTATTCTACTTTCTGCTATCCCACAACTTGAACAACTGATGAACACTGAAAGCATTCAAAAAACCTAGAAGGCGAAAGAGTTCAGGCTTTTGACCGTTTCCGTGGCAGGAAAGGAGCATTCCTGGGGCTTCAATCTCTGAGAAAGACTCAGGATACCAAGAACTCAATCGCTAGGTCTTAAGTTCAAAAGTGCCGCTTTGGGAGAGGGCAAGCAAAAAGAAATTGGAGTCTACCAATGCTACGCGGCAGCGAGTAAGGGGGTGAAGCTGGAGTGTACTGTCTGGGACCTCAGGCCACGGAATAGCTCCCCCATTTTCTGGGTGGATCGAACAAGGCTGGGAAGCCGGAACCAGCCAAAAGAGCTAGGAAGCACGAAGCTGGCAGTTGGCGTTCCACTCGCCTTTTTTGGCGGTAGGGGGAAATGGGCGGGGCATCGTACAGTTCAGCCAGTACCACTCTGGCCCGAGTGGTGGTCGTATAATACTCGGGGAAATAACACCTCGGGAAGAGGCTGGCATCGGAGGAACCGAGTGTGAAGAGCAGATTCCAGTCAAACCCCTCAGAAGCTAGGAACCCTTTAGGGTGCACAAGGTTTCAGGTTGCACGGGCTGGGTTGTACTACTCTAGCACCGGAGAGAGGGGGGTCCAGGCTGGGACGTCGGCTGGGCCGCAGCTGGGTTTATCTCACCAGAGCCATTGGGTCCAATGATGGCAGTGAATCTCTGAAATGGTCCGATAATCTGTCGACCCTTGTACGATTTAAAGTTCTCGATCTCAATCAATTTCAGGAAACCCATGACGGAGGCGACGTCGGCAGTGGGAAAGGCCCCGCCGTACACCCAGGAACTGGGGTAACCCGCGCGGGAAACGCCGCGGTGCAGGCCGGGAAGAGGGCAAAACTCGCGAGAATAAACACATGCCAAACGTGATTTCCAGCTTCCTATCGCGAGCGTGAACCTAAGGCGGGGTTTTGATGTAGAGGGTTTAGAGGGTTTTGTTGATCCGTAGCCCGGGCGCGAGCCTGTGATTTGCGTTTAGGCCCCGCCCCCCTTGTGTTGCACAGCAACGCACCGCGGCGACCACTTACTAACTTGTAGTGGAATTGGAGCCAGAGGACGCAAAGCAATTTTGGGGATCTAGACGGCAGGCAGGACCTAATCCCACTTTCGCTGTGACAAGTCAGATCTCAAGGTTATGTCCCCCAAGGCAAGTGAAAAGTGGGAACCCTGCTGTGGCTTTAGTCTAGCCAGCCTGAAGCCTCGAACAAGGACAGAGTCAGGAATTTAAGACTCCAGGAAACGGAGGGCTGGACGGGAAGGAAAGGGCCATTGGGAGGATTCAGTGTTGGGTAAACTCAGACTCACTGGTGCTAAAAGTGAGATTGGAGGTGGAATGGGGTATAAAGGGGGGGGGGGTGGTATTCCTGAGCGACAGATAAGCAGGCTGGGGAAGGCTATGACCGGAGGTGTCTCCTAGTCCTTGCCTCCTTGTTCCTCCGATCAGGGATCAGAGACTGCCGCAGTGACCCAACAGACTTGGACCCATACCTAACCTAAGAGCTTCAAAACCGGCATTCCTCACTGAGAAAGGTATTTTGTGTGAACTTCTGGGAGTCTGGATCCCTAAGCCAGTGCCTTTTATTGCTTTTGACCTCTCTAAAGTGCCAGGCTATATTATTCAATATATTGCTTTTACTATCCTGTTTATTCCAGTTTAATAAACATTTGCAGAGTGCCTAATGGTGGCCAGATACTCCTTTAAGTATACCAAGAAACAAAGTGAAAAAAAATTTGAGTCTGGAGGTTTTTTATTGGAACAGGCAGATAATAAAGACTTAAAACATAAAATATACATTGAGCAGTTTATACAAAGGTAAGTTATATTCAAAACGTATTGCACAGGATAAGGGAAATTGGGAAGGATCAAGAAAATGGGAGAATTTTGCAGTTTTAAACATGCAAGTCGGTGGAGGGAATGCTGAAAAAACATTATTTGAGCAATACTTGAAGGAAGTGAGAGAACTGCCCATGCACCTGTGCATGGATCTGGAAGAGAGACCATTTCAGGCAGAGGGAACAGCGAGCAAGAAGGCTTTACAGTGTGAGCATGAGAGGTAGACAAGGGAACAGCAAGGAGGTTAGTGTGGCTAGAGGAAGTAGGTGAAGTAGTAGTTAATAAATGGTATTAAAGAGAATACAAGGCATGTGGTATGATTTGTGGGCCATTGCAAAGGCGTTGGTTTTAACTGAGAAGTGGGCAGCTACTGGAGGTTTTTGAATAGTGCAGTGAAATGTTTTGACTTTGATTTTTAAAGGGTCATTCTGCTGTGTTACAAACAGACTGAGGAAAGGGGAAGCAAGGCTAGAAGTAGATTGGTTGAGGCTTTTGCAGTTGTCCAGGCAAGAGATCATGGGCTATTTTGAAAGAAGAGAGAATCAGGGAAAGGAAGGGTTAAAAGATGCTTCTTGGGCTTGGGATTTAGCTCAGAGGCATTGCAAGCACAGTCGTGAGTTCAATACCCAGAACCAAAAAAAAAAACCAGATGCTTCTTGAATTTTGGGTCTGAACAACTTGGTGAGTGGTGATTACTTACTGAAATGAAGGAAACTGAGTAGAAGAAAGGTACATATTGTCAGAACATTTGAGGCTTAAAAAGGTGAGCAGGAGCCAGATCATGAAGAAACTTATAAATCTGGCAAAGGGGATTGGACCTTATCTTATAAACAACACTAAGGAGCCATTTGCTTTAAAGCTCTTTCAGAGGTTTTAAGGAGTGGTCAGACATGCTTATAGAAACATTACTCTGGTAGCCAGTGCAGAGGATAGCACTGGAGCAAGGGAACCAGCAAGGCTCCTGGGAACATTGCTTGTCATGAGACTGTGAGGCCTGAATTAAGGTGGTAACAGCAGAGATGGACATAAATATATCATGAAATAAAATGAGTCAGAATCAATTACAAAGGAAATATTGTAGAGAAAAAAGGAATGAAATGAGATGTTGTCAAGAACCGTGGTCAGCACTGATAGGCGGCTCCTTGTTCCAGATGTATAAGGTAGACCTGTCATCAGATCTCAAAGAGGTGGCAGCCATTGAGGCCAGAAGAAATCGAGAAAAAGAGCGACACTGCCGATTCTTCAATGTGCAAAACCGAGTCATGGGGGTGAGTAGGAAGTAGGTCTGATTCACCCCCTCACTGTTAGATCTGGAAAGAAACACAGCAGTGTTCATTATGGTCTCTTCCCCAACTTAAATAGGTATTAGGACTGGAAAGGAAAGGGGAGGCACACACTTCCACAGGCTAGGGAAGGGTTTGGGAAGAAGAATGCAGAGATGCAGTGAAGAGATTGGAGGATGACAACTGGCTCTTTTCTGGTTAGCTCTGGGCCGTGTCATTCTCTATACTCCGACAACATGGATCCAAAAAGACATAAAGAAGCAAGACGTGTTGGTACACACCTATAATTGCAACATTCTAGAAAGCTGAGGGAGGACCAATTCAAGTTTGAGTCCAACATATGTGACTTAGTGAGACCCTGTCTCAGAAAGAAAGAAAGAAAAAAAGCAGGCAGGGAATGTAGATCAGTGCAAAGGCCCTAGCTTTGATCCTCAGTAGCACAAAATAAAACAAAAAAGGCCTAAACAATATTTGGTGTTTTATATTGCATATGGCTAGGCTGTATCTACAAAACTACATAAGATCTTGTTAAGCAGGCTAAGGGATACAGACCTAAGGATGAAAGGGAACTTACTCTTCACTATACTGAATCCCTTTTATTCTCTTTTGAAATGTTTTATAATTAAAGAGAAAATACTGATAGCTTAAAAAATAAAAGATTGCTGAATGGGTGGTTAGAGGAAAGAATGCAGCAACTGCGTTCTGGAAAAGATACCATACCTCTGTTCAAGGCCATGTCTGCTGTCTGTCATATGTGCAGTTTTGATTAAGTCATCTTTCTTCTCTGAGCTCTAGGCTCCTCTCCTGTAAAATGAGGTTAAGTAGAATGGAGGTAGCACCCTGAATACCAAAGCATAGTGCCTGAACAAGAATTTGGTTGGCTGAAGTTTGAGTTGTCTGATGGAGATAAAGGTGGCATTTCCTTAAGGCCTGTTCTATGCTAAGCACTCTAGAAGGTAGCTGGGATACAAAGTAACAAAGACTGAGTCTCCCCCAAAAGTGCTACAGCCCAGTGGAGAAAATAATAGACAAGTGAAATTTCATTATAATGTGGACAGTAGATCCTAGATTAAGGGAAGGGTCAGGAAGGTAAAGCTTGAGTTGGTCTTAAATGGCAAATTGGAGTTTGGGTAAAGAGGGAATGAAAAGAATGTTCCAAGAGGAGGGAGTAGTTTAAATAAAGGTGATGAGTTCCAAACAGCCCAAAATGTGCTGGGCACTGAAGAACAGTTCCTGAGGCCATTGTGAAGGGGGCCAGGGGAAGAAAGTAAAGAGTTGAGGCTGAAGGAGGTAGAGGCTACACCAAAGAAGTATTTATGAGTTATACTCAGGGGCTGGAACTTCATTCAGTAAGTTCTAGAGAGGTATAGGAGAATTTTGAACAAAGTAAATTTTGGGGCTGGGGATTTAGCTCAGCGGCATAAGCGACTGCCTTGCAAGTGTGTGGTCGTGAGTTCAATCGCCGGTACCCATAAAAAAGAAAAAGACCAAAAAAAGAGTAAATTTTAAGAAGCTCATATTAGAGCACCCCCCCTGCAGGGCATCTATCCTGATTTGGCTCCTTTCTTTGGGACCCAGGTGGATATGGAAGCTTTGAACAAGCAAGTGGAAGAGCGAAAGCTTCAGGAGGCAACTGAACGAAAAAAGGAAGCAGCTTATGGTAACTGCCAAGCCCAGGGACAGACTAGACAAGGGAGTAAAGCAAAAGCCTGAGTGGGCTGAAGTAGGGCCATTCTGTCTCTAAATGGATCCTGGGATAGTGAGACACACAAGATGACCCTTGAGAACACAGGCCATACAGACTGGGCTCTGTGCCTCCTGTGGTGCCTTCTCTATGTCCCTGCTCATCACCCCTAGGTACTAAGAGTGTGCAGTATGATCTGGTAGTCCAGATGATAGAGAAGGAAGAGGCAAAACGAGCACGTCGAGTGGCCAAGAAAATCCAGGATTTTCGACAGCAGAAGCAGGAATTCAAGAATAGATGTGCATTTGAACTTCAGGATCCAGCCCAATTCCAAGGGATTTCAGCCCCATTGCAGCAATGTCCAGCCTATCTCAGTGACAGTGGTCCCTTCTGTGGCCCAGCCAGCATGCAGTGTTTCTTGGGGGAAGATCTGGATAGGGCCTCAGTCCTGAGAATGCAACAGCAGCAGTTCAGGTATAACCTGCAAAGGCAGCTGCAAGAGCAACAACAAGTCAGAGCTGAAGAGAAATATGCAGGTAAGCAGGCTGTTCCTTCAGTCTTACGGGACCAAGGCTTAGCATGAAACTCCCCTGAACTGGGTACAGCATCCAGAAGCCCAGAATGTGTGGGGAAGTTGTTACTCATAGTGCCAATGCTGAAACATTGGACTGTACAGGTCCAACCTTCCTGATTTCCTTCAGTAACTGACAATGTAGTCGTTGTTCATGACCAGCCTGGCACAGCATTACCCAGATGAAGCATGATAAGTACACGCTCACATAGACAGCTTTCACTTACTAGTTGATTTGAACAAATGGACACTGAGTTTCTTCCTCTGTTTTCATTCGTTTTAGTATATATGTGCTGCCGAAGCAAGCATACATTTATTTGTTTTTGATACACGGTCTCACTACGTAGTTCAGGCTGATTTCAAACTCATAGCCATTATCCTTCTTAGCCTTTGGAGTCCTGGGATTACAGGCATGTACCACCTGCCCAGCTTTCCTCTTTTTAAAAATTATCTGCCTGGGTGTGGTGGCACATGCCTGTAATTCCAGCACTCAGTAAGCTGAGGCAGGAAGATTGCCTCAAGTTTGAGGCTAGCCTGCACTACATACTAAGTTCAAGAACAGCCTGAACTGAACTACATAGTGAGACCATATCTCAAATAAACAAAATAAAATAAAATAGAATTAGTCAAACCCAGGGCCTCATGCATGCATACATGCATGCATGCTTTTAATTGTACTGGAAGGTGAACACAGGGTCTTCACACTCGGAGCTACCACCTCAGTCTCCCTCTACCACTTTTTTTTTGAGACAGAGTCTCTGTAAGTGGATAAATTGCCCAGGCTTGGCTCAGCCCCCCAGAGTGCTGGGATTATTGATGCATATCAACATGCTTAGCTGCTAACCACACATTTTACCCCTGAGCTACACCCCCGGTTTCATCTTCAAAATAAGGATACTAATCCTCATCACAGAGTAGCTATTATGGTATTATCTGTGGCCAAATCTTTCTCTTCCCTTAGAGAAAGCCCTTCTAGGACAAGGACCATGTCTTATCTACATGTACTATTCACCTTTTAGATCATCATAATGTCGAACAGATCCTGGGATAGCAAGATCAATGTGTGGCTGCAGTGGGGAAAAAAATGTCTGTACTTTTGCTTGTGCTGTTCCACCAGCCTCGAACATTGTTTGCTTTTTTTGCCTGTATGCAAAATGTACTTCAAAAATCACCTCCTAGAACCCTTCTCACCTGCTACTCAAAGCTTTCTTGTTTTTGTTCTGTTTTGGTGCTGGGGACTGAACCTGGGGCTTCACATATATTAATTATGTGCTCTACCACCAAGTTACAACCTCACTCCTCACCCCCAAGTCTCATGCACATTGTCCTTACCAGATTATAGTCTTATTATCTCTTTGATCTGTCTCCCCTACTAGACAGGGAGTTCTGAGAAGAGGATCTAATTTCATGGTGTCCTTGAAACCCAACACATGGCCCTTAGACTGAGGTTCGGAGAGATGAAATGATTTACCCGAGGCCACATTCATAAATAGCAGAACTACACTGCAACCCAGGTTGCTGCTGCACTATGACTATCCCTAGCCCCAAAGAGTAGCTCCTTCTGCATCCCTACAACTTGGATACTAGCCCCCTCCCAAACAAATATACACATACAAAATTTGTTGAATAAATGGTTGAATAAGTGAACCAGGAATGGAGCAAGCCAGTATAGTAATACAAACCATATTTCTCTGTACAGATATGCTTAGTGGCCAGCTGCACCTAGCTATGGACATGCAGGCTGCCCAGATGGCCAGGCTGGAAGAGTCTTGTCGTGTTGCCATGATGTCTGCCAGAGCTAATGTCAATAAAGCCCAGGTATGGCCTGACCCATCCAGTATAATGGGTTCTTTCCAACCCCCTGAAGAAAGTCCTGGGGAACCTTAGCCATATCCATCTCCTCCACTTAAGATGCTTCTTATGGCACAAGTTACCTTGCTCTACTTCCAGATACAGGACAACTAAAGAACAGAACATTAAAAAACAAACAAAAACATAACAGAACATTGCACTTTCATCCCTCTAAGACCTTCAGCTGAGTGTATAGTTCCCTGCCCATACAGTCATTAAAAGGCCATGCACTGTCTCTTCTCTCTCTCTGAGATGGAGGAGTGGGGCCATGTTTTTTCCATCCCTGCATCTGAGAGGTCCTTGAGGTTGAGCACTTAAAAACATACATTTGGGGACCCCACAGGCAGCTAAGCTGGCTGAGCAGCAGCACTGTGAACATCAGCGCCAACAGGAGGCCAACCTCACAGATATACAGAAGCAGATCTCCAGTAATCTCCTGACTGAGAACCCCCAGGATGCTCAGCACCGAGTCCTGCCCTATTGCTGGAAGGGGATGACTCCACAACAGCAAGATGACATCAGGAAAGCTCAGGAGGCACAATGTCGTGAGAAGGAGGCACAGCGCCAAGCTGAACAAGCACTGGATAACAAATGGGCAAGCCAAACTGTATGCTTAGCCCAAGCAGCACTCGAGCTAGAGGAACAGGAGAGGGAACTGTGTGCTGAATTTCAGAGAGGGCTAGGCTCCTTCAACCATCAGCTGGCCAAAGATCAACAGGCCCAGTGAGTTCTAGGGGGTGGCAGTGGGGATGAGTGCCAAGGGAGGGTGAGAAGGGAGGGTGATGAACCAGAGAAAGAAGGGAGGGAGGGCAAGGACCAGGGAGAAAAGAAAATATATCATCTGAGATTTCTGGACTTCTTTTTACAGGCAAAATTACCTGAATTCAGTAATTTACACCAATCAACCTACAGCCCAGTATTATCTGCAGTTCAACACCAGCAGCCGCTGAACCCAGGATGGTCACCTCTCCCTTCTCTTCTATTAATCTCATAGCCGGATAGGAGTCAAAAAGAAGAATGCTGCAAGGCCCCACTTTGAATTCATTCCCTAGTGGGACACAGCTAAGCCAATACCCCTATCTTATATCCAAGGCAATAAAATTATTAATTAAAGTCTTGTGTAACAAGACACAAAAGCATGATATACTGCTTTTCCCATCTTACCTTGGGGCTTTGGGCATCCAACACTGTTGGAGCCTTCACTTTTCTTCCCCACCTGACCCCCAACTCCTCCGCCTCCCTCAGTACACAGCACTGCCCATATCCCATCAAAGAGACTTTTATTAGTCATAGAGGCAATCGGTAGGTAGTTACAAAATGGCTACTAGGCTTCCTCAAAGGAAGGTAAGGCAAAAGAGCCTGTGTTTTCCCAGCCTCCTTTCAAGGCTGCATGCGGATGGCCCCATCAAGCCGGATGACCTCTCCATTGAGGAATGGGTTCTCGATTATGGTCTGTACCAGATGAGCATACTCAGCAGGGTCTCCAAGTCGGGTGGGGAATGGTACCTGGCTGGCCAAGAAGTTGCGTACCTTTTCTGGGAGGCTGGTCAGCAGTGGGGTGCCAAACAGGCCTGAACAAGATAACCAGAGTGAGACTCACCCTTATTTTCATATTTACTCATTTTTTTCTCACCTGAGCTCTACTTCATGGCATTTCTCTTGGGCCCAAAGATAGAAGGCTGCTGTTGCTTTTAGTTGCTTCCCCTCTTAACTGCCCACAGATTATTCCCAATTCCAGGTGTGGCAAGGAGAGGGGATATATCTACCTGGAGCAATGGTCATCACCCGGATGCCTATGGGAGCCAGATCCCGAGCAATGGGCAGTGTCATGCCCACTATGCCTCCCTTAGATGCAGAGTATGCAGCTTGTCCAACCTGAAGGAGTGAAGGTCATAGGTAGGAGGGCCCCAAGAAGTAACTGAGGAAGCATAGCTTTGCCCCTGCCCACAAACCTGGCCCTCAAAGGCAGCCACACTGGCAGTGTTGATGATAATCCCACGTTGGCCTCCCTCATCTGGTTCATTCTGGCCCATCTCACCAGCAACCAGGCGGATCACATTAAAGGTGCCTAAGAGATTCACCTGGAATATGAGTACAGACATGGTGTAAGAGCTAAAGCAAAAGTTTGTTCCCCAAAGCTTTGGGGGTACCCATCACCAGATACCTCTTATTCCCCCAGAGTTTCCAAGACCTTACATTGAGTACTCGCTGAAAGTCCTCCAAGTTGTGAGCCTGCTTCTTCTTTAAGTTGTATGTTTTACTGGCAATTGCAATACCTGCACAGTTGACGGCCACATCCACACGGCCAAAATTTTCCTTTGCGAGAGTCAGGGCTGTCTGCACATCCTTCTCAGACGTTACCTTCAAAGGGAAAAATGATTCATTTCCCAGCGAACACTATCAACAGAAACCTGGGGAAGGGTAAGGCCCAATTCTTGGACAGGAAAGAAAAGCTAAGAGAAAAGGTGATAAAACTGGAGGAGAATTGAGTAAAGGTAAAAATCATAGATACTACAGGCAGTCTTGCAAAACATTTTTCAAAGCTGTATCTTCTTGTGATAAATTCACACTCTCTAGGTGATTCTCAATTGCTGTGGATTAGACCATTAATACAACCTTGTTTTGAGAATTACTGATAGGAATGTCAGCTAGCTTTTTTGCATCCCTACCTGCTAGATTATTTCATCACGTTTTACTTTCTGTAGTTTTACAAAAATAATTTTTCAAACTATGGATACCTCCTCTGGGAGATTCTGATATGCCTAATTCTCTTCCCTATTGTGGTGACTGAATCTCACCTTTTAGAGAGACCCCACTGCTGGTGCTCCCACAGTGCTTGAAGACCTTGGCCAAAAGTGACAAGGAGATAAGATTCCTGGCCTCTATAAATGACATTCATGGGAGACAGGGACCTCTATGTGTTCTCAGGTAAATGTTGATGACCTGATGTACACTCTAGTAAAGAACTAAGTCCACTTACATCAGCTGGGACAAACACACAGCTCTTTCCTAACTTCTTGGCCTGGGCCTCTCCATCAGAGTTGGGCAAGTCCAGAAGCACAGCAGTGGCCCCTTGCCTCACCAGTCGCTCCGCTGTAGCCAAGCCAAGGCCTGAGGCTCCTCCAGTTATTACTGCAACTAGGCCCTGTAAAAAGAGACAAAAGGTCTAGTGATACACTGCCAGGCCACCCCACCCTTTCACTTGCTCAATTCTCCATACTTCTGCGAGGAAAATAGGGGAAGAATCAGATGTATCTCCTCTCCTCACTCATGAGACCCCTGGGAGTTCTCATCCCCAGACAGTCCATTCTGTGAGCCCCACAAGCACAGACAACGGTGTTGACTTTCCCCTACTGAGCCCAACCACCGCAGTATCAGACCAAAACAAGCATAATCCTTTCTCCGGGCACCTGTCTCTTCTCTCTAGCTTCCAACTGTCCTTTCTGAGCCACCACAGCCAGTCAAACAGCAGAGAGCATAATGGAAAGAAGCAGATTTACCTTCACACTCCGACACGCCGCAGCCATCTTGTACCGGTCTCACCACTGAAGGGCTTTTGGCACTTTTTTTCACAGGCGTTCACTGATTGGTCGAGACGGAGCCGCTGGGCGGGGACGTCTGCCGCACGGGACGTAAGAGTGTGGCTTGCTCCAACTGAACCTTGGTAAGAGGGTGAAGCTGTGTCCAAGAGTAATTTCAACATCAGAAAGAGTTCAATAGCGGCAGTACAAATCATCACAGCCGCTTTGACCTTATCTCTAGCTGGTCGTTTGGCAGGCGGCTATCTCCGAAGGAGGAAGGGAGAGTGATTAAAAGTGAATCTTTTTCTCCAAAGAAAAAAAACCTTCAAGTATAAAGGACTCCAAAATGCCAGACACTATGCAGAGCACTGGGGATATCCAGGGGAATAATAAAAGGTTCATGCCTTCTAGGAAATTGGAGAAAGTCAGTTACAGTACAGACAATGGAAAGGACAGAGAACCAGTTGTGGTTTTTTTGTTTGTTTGTTTTTGTTTTTTGGTATTGGGAATTGAACTCACAACCTCATGCTTGCAAGGCAGACACCAGAGAACCAGATTTTGAATCCTGGGTCTTATACATACCAGGCAAAGGCTATACCACTGAGCTACTTTACCAGCCCAAGAAAAAGATTCTGAAACACACAGATGAGGAGATTCAAAAATGGAGATTCTGAGAGAGAAGCACTGAAGGGAAAGATGTGTTGAAGCAGAGATAGAGGTGCCAAACAGGATCACACAGATATAAAAGTAGAGAGCCACTAAGAGTCAGAGATATGAGCCAGGTATAGTAGCACACGGCAATAATCCCAGCACTTGGGAGGGTGAGGCAGGAGGATCACTGACTTGGAGGCCAACCTTGGCTACTAGGGAATTCAAGGCCAGCATGACCTACATGGTGAGACCCAGTCTCAAAATAAACAAAAACAAAATAACAACAACAAAAACCCCAAAAGACAAAATCATCTTTTATCAGTTCAGACTTTGCTACTCTCCTTTGTCTGTGCACTGTATTTTAAATACAAAAGCCCAGAACACACACTGTAGACTGGACTTCAATCAGAAACTTATTTATTTATTTAAGAGACTTTTTTTATTTACTTATTTATTTTAGACAGGGTTTCACTATGTAGTTCAGGCTAGCCTTGAACTTACTGCATAGCCCAGGCTGCCCACCCCTCACCCCCAGCACTAATCCATTTGCCTCAACCTTTCCAGTGCTGGAATTACAGGCATGCACTACCACACCCAGCTCAGTGATTTATTTTAAAAACCTAGGTGTTTGGTCCATCCTAAACATGTTCCCATCCTCATACTCATTAGAATCTTTTTTAATGTGTGGATGTGGTACTGGGGATTGAGCCCAAAACCTTTACACTGAGCTACAATCTCCAGCCCTTTCATAATTTTTTTGAGACGGGGTCTCTCAAAGCCACTAAATTGCCTAATCTGGACTCAAACTTTTGATCCTCCTGCCTCACAATTCCCAGAGTGTTGAAATTACAAGTACATGTCACCACACCATGCTTCAATTAAAATTTTGAGCCCAGACATCTAATGTGTCTACTTTTCCTCAAATCAAGGTCGTCAGGCCACAAATCTTAGCCTGCATAAATGCTCTGTTTTCTCTGTCTGAAGCATATCTTCCCATTTGCTACCCAGGAAGACCTTTGGACTTCCTAGTTGTTGATAACCATCACACTATGTTCACTACATTATGTTTATCAAAGAACTTAGCACCAGGGTCACAATTTTTCTGTCTACATGAAATGTTCCCATCAAATGATATCACTTTTCACTAGCCCTATATACTCATCATGGTGGCCTTTTTCTGTTTGTCTTTGCACTAGCTGTTTCCTCTGCTTAGAATGCTGTCCTCATGACTACAGCATGACTAACTATTTTTGTTTTGTTTTGTCATTCAGAATTGTTTAAACTGAGCATGGTGGCACAAGCCTGTAATGTCAACAATGAAGAAGCTGAGGCAGGAGGATTAACACAAATTCAAGGCCAGCATGGGATACATAAATTAGTTTAAGCCCAGGCAAACCTGCATAGAGAGACCCTCACTCAATAAAACAAAACAAAAAAAAAGAACTAAATTTAAATGTCACCTCTCCAGAGAAGTCCTCCTTGACCAAAGAGGAAGTCACATAGTATTATATTACATATTTGAATTCACTGCATAGCACTTACAGATACATTCATAATCTTCTTTCCAAACTTTGGGCCAGTTTAGCAATTGAGAAGTTTTTCAATTACAGAAAAGAAGATATATACTTTGTTATATAAACTCTTTGTACTGCATATACTCTGTGTCACATAACTACTGAGAAAGTTCTGGAGTGTGATAATTAAATGTCAAAATATTTAAAGTGAAAAGTATGATACTTCATAATGTATGAATAAACAGTTTCAGGTTACTTTAGGTCAGGTTTTGTCATCTAATGAGTTTGGGATCCAAAGTATGAAAAACACCTCTATGCTTTTCAGAGCTTTTGGCATTTGTAGAATTGTGCCTAAAGGCTTGTGAGCTCTAATTTGGCCTTAGTTGTGTAATTCTTCCTCTCCTGGAAGATAAACCCAGGATATTGTCCTGCTGATTCATCTCTTGATCTACC